ATAATGCAGAAGCAAAGTGCGCGCATCAAGTGCAAAAATATTTTGTTCAAACCCAGGAAGTGACATTGTGCGTTCGGTCAAAACAACCGCATGCGATCAAAACAATAATATACAATTATATTTTCACATCTTTAAGGCGTAAAAGTTCGAAGCCTGGCTAAACAATTCAAGGAATTGTTCAGTCGGATTGGTTACTTCTTTGCACTGAATTAACCCTCTTCTGTACTGAATTACCTGAAAAATAACATCTATCTTGACCGATCAGGACTGAGTAATTTTTTCATGTATCTTACGAATAGCGTAATGAATATCTTAACCCAACATTTTACACAGAAAAAATTAGAATTTATGCATTCAAAAGAATAAGGTAATCTTGATTTGTATGAAGAAAGCGTTTTTCAGTTTGTTTCCCTAAAAACATCATTAAGGTAATTATAACGATCGATTAGAAAGAATGTGCTTGTCACTCGAAACCTGTGAAAAGGTAAAAGAAACTGAAACAAACGAACCTGAGTGCGACCAAGTTGAGATTGAATTTCCTTTAGATCTGAGTGATTTAGAAGGAGGAGTGAGTTTTCTGGACCTTCACAAAACAATAAACAAGTAGCAATGAAATTCACAATTATATTCGTCTCTCAGAGCAATTTTCAATTGAGTGTTGAAAGTAACCCGGAATTGAGTTGGGTTTGCTTTACTTTGATTTGTGATTGGTCCAGAAAATTCGCGCCACTCTCTTAACCAATTAGATGCAAAACGATTCGGTCGCCGCGTGTTGCCGCCCTTTTAGCGGTTTGCTTGTTTTTTACTTTGAGTTCTGATTGGCACTCCTGGATATTTTTCTTTCTTCCGATTGCCCGTTGAATTGCTTTGGTTTTGGTTCGACAAAACTCATTGGAAAAGCTCTCCAAACGAACGGCTCTATATTTTAACCTCCAATATGAATAATTTATCTCAGGTGGGAGTCAGCGATGCGGTGAATGTAGCAACTGGAGATGTGAGAGTAAACGGAGAGGTTGTCCCAGACGCCGATAAAACAAATCATGTGATGGTGATACCAAAGTCAAGCGGCGCAACTACAGGGCGTGCCATCGTGTTTAAGCAGCTGTCCAAAGGGTTCACTAAAGAAGTCAAACTTACTCGATAGTTGCCTTGACGGCATATACATTTTTCTTCCTCTGGACTGATTATTCTCTAGTTATCAGCTGAGTTGATGTTGTAAATTGGTCACCGTAAAGAGTTTCTAAACATCAGCTTAGAAACTCTTTACGGAGGCCAATTTACCTTAACAACTTATTTGATAAAACCAAATTATCTTGTAATATACTCCACCAAAGCAGCACTGCCCGTCGCGCTGAAACGGCTAACGGCGTGAATGAAGCTTTCTCTACTTCTAACTCTCGGCTAGCGTACTGGCGCTTCTTCGCTGTTTCGTACTGCCTGATTATCTTGTCTGGATCCATACGTCTATAGGAGTCTGCATTTGGGTGCTAAATTCTCACAACGAAAAAAAGCCGAACTCTGCCTCTACCAGAATTCCTTAGCAACTATAACCAGTCGCACTAGAGACAAACGCGATTCAGCTTCTTTGTAAAGTCCTTTTATTTCACAAGACCACTAAAATTATTGTAAAAAAAATTATTTTTTTCCTTTTGGCCTCGATGAAACATAGACAAAAAATGGTTCAAATTAGAGTTTATTTCTGTCGGTACTCTTAAACTCACTGATATTCAATTTCCAAGTCTTCCCGGCTTCATATACAAAGAAATAAACGAGGACAACACGGACCCTGCAATGGCGTCTGTCGAGCCTGTGCTACCTGAACAGCGGTTGAGTTTGTCCTTAAATTTTGTCTTTGCCTGAGTCCCGCCATTTTTCGATTGCCCGCTTTTTCGCTCATTTCCATTAAGAACCTCTCACGTACAGGCTACATATCTATATGTCTATCTTAGAACTGAGCAAAAATAATTAATTATTGACTAAGTGAGAAACTGGACGGGAAATGTTTGGCCCGAGGTCATGAAGTACCAGCTTCGCGGCCGGCTCGGTCCATTCCGGTTTCAAACCAAATCACGCTATTTTTAGCTTTTACCCCACGATTTTTTTTTTCAATATTTACTGAGAAGAAAATCTGCATCGTCCAAAGTAAAGTTTCAGCAACAAATTTCATTCTTTTCTTTACTCGCGCGGTTAGGTGCAATATCGGCGTGGGCGTCACCTTTGGGAGAACATGTTTTGCTGGTGTAAATGGAGTGTATGTGACCTAAGGTATACTATGTGTAAACGAGGAAAATAGTAGAGCGCAGTTATTCATTTCAAACACTTCAAGAAGTATAGAATTTAAGAATTGAGTTTGCAACAGAAGTTCGAATTCAGGTGTTAGCAAAAGTTTCAAGAAAGTCTTTTTACTTCGGGGCAGATGTTTATTTAGAAATTTAGACGTTAGATCAACGTAAGTCAATTCTAGCTGTCTGAACAGGGTTTTGGAACAATTGAATAAAGGGGGTAAGTTTCTAAAGAAACTGTGGTGCTGCGTCGGTGGGAGAGTATAGCAGGTAATTAAGTGTTAACGACTGAGTTAAAACGTAAATTGGCCACCGTAAAGAGTAAAAAAGTTGACGTTTTGAGCGTTAGCCTGACGAAGGGCTAACGCTCGAAACGTCAGCTTTTTTAGTCTTTGCGGTGACCGATTTACGTTTTCAACTAAATTGTTAACACTAAATTATTTGGAACTATTGGTTACCGAAAGCGTAGTCACAAACATTTTTGCTATAAATTACTGACGACTTCTTGCTTGAGAGCAGATCCTCAGAGTGACCTCATGAAATTTAAATGATCCCATTAAAACTAAATGCACTCCCTTCAACTAAGATTTAAAACATTTACCTTCTTGCTAAAGACAGCCGGAACCAAGACAAAGCTCTCTTTTCAGAGTAGAAAAAGGTCATAGTACGATGTATGAAAGATGGAATCTCCGGTAGATTCCAGAAATAATTATGAAGTGTGAATAAAGAGTAGACTCTAACATCTTGGGCCCAAACTTGAGATATTCCTATAACATGAGCTAATTAAACGTACATGGATTCCTTCGGTAACAAAGGGGAACAATCTGATTGGCTGAAAATTGTGCGTGGAGGAAGGGATCAGAGATCAGGGATTTTTTAAGACCTCTCACCGCCGTCTGGGTTTAACTTGCTCAGGCTGAAGTGTTCGGGTCTCGCCTTGGGGCACAGCCACCAACTGTACCATCGGCAGATGCTTATTAAAAAAATGTTCATATGAAACCCCTGAGGGATTAAAACATAGTCAAGCGGGAAAAGGTTTCATCTGGAGCAGTGAGCTGTGGTACCTGGCATTCATATCATAAATTAGTCAACGTTTCTTCTCGCTTTGATTCTTAGAGCATGGGCTGTCTCATCAAATTTAAATGCTTTTTTTCTCGAAAAGCAAAAAGCTATTGTGTCGATATTCATCCGACCAGCTAGTGGGTGGAATTATGAGCGTGAAATAATTTTGCTATAAATAAGGGTGTAAAGCATGAGTGTTTTATGAAAATTAAGTTTTCACTGAGGATCAAACATCACAGAGGGACTGTCAGGAACAAAAGGTAGGTTTATTTCAGGTAAGGAAAGTGTTCAAATTACAACTGTATACAAAATAGTACATTAGGTGAAGTGCTATGCTAGTGATATTCATGGTTATTATATCAAGTTCGAAGAAAACTCAAGCTTCGTGTCTGAGAACTGAAATTGTGACCCAGAAAAAAGCATTTGCCTCATTCTTGTTTAAGCGTGTTTTTATATTTATAAGACTGGTAAGATTTGGTCATCTCTATGGAAGGCTGAGATATGTAGCGGGCTTAAGTATTTTGTTTCCTTATGTCAATTTTTTAACCCAATCCTTTGTTCAGTTTTTCTCGCGAAACTTAAACGCATCATCATCATTGCAACGTTAAATGGTCCAATTTAATTTAAAAAAAATTACGATATATGTATATATATCTATTTGTTTTATTCTATGTTTATATTTGCTATTTTCATACAGGAGAATGTTACGTCTTGCCCTCTCTGCGATCTTTGTCCTTTCTCTCTTAAAACCCATCGAGGGAGCTGCAGGTAACAGTTTAAAAGTCAATCGACTTAGTTCATCCATATGTGTATTTTAACTTAGATCGAGCCACTTCGCTTGTCGAAAATTATTATTCAAGTAAGTCTTGAAGTTCCCTAAATCATTGATTTCCTCTCGGTTTCGCTTTCAATCTTCTCTATTTAATTAAAGTGGTCAAATTTCCCATGTCGTAAATAGGCATTAATGTGTTATGGAGAGCTTGGTTATAGATTAAGGGGGAAAAAACGTCTTTTAAACATTTTTTAAGAACTAAGAGCATATATCAAACTCTGTTCGAGAACTATGTTGTTCAGGGTGATTAGTGAAATATAAAGCAGCTGATGCACCAATCACATTTGAGGAAATTGCGATCGTTATGATTAACCGGAAAATCACGCAATCTCAAACGACATCGACGCAAAACGTTCCTCGAGTTGTGCTTTCAAGGTCATAGTTTGTATCCTTGAGTACGGGCCTCGTGCACGCTTTTAGCTATATCCCTTTATTCTTTCTGATATTTCTTTTTATTTAATTCTTTTTATTTAAAGGGGATAATTTGTACCCGTAGATTATGCAATACAAATTACAGGCCACCGTGCTCGCTCATGAGCAAAAGACCATCGTACTTGTTTACATAATTCCGTAAATTTCTATTGATAAGCAATTTAGAGAGTTAAATATTTACTAATGACTAAAGTTTACATTTCACTTGAAAAAACCGATTTGCACGAATGGTGCGATATTTATTTGCTTACCTATTTTTGACTTTTCCCGCGCAATTTTCAAAGAGCCACGACTTATGTTATTGTCACGAGATGTCTAGGAGACTTGGTTACAAAGCCAGACAAAATAATAACAACGAAACCAGCTTCGAAACCAACGAAAGTCCGAAACCAGTCATATTTAACGAAAATGACACTGACAAGATTTATCATGAAGACATTTTCATGGTATTTTAAAGAAGAAAAAATCCCCGATTGAAGAATTTCAATTGATCTTCCTGACCGATGAGAGGTAAAAAATCTCGGGACTGCTCTCTGCTCTTCGAAAGAATAATTATTGTGTTTACTAATTTTAACTCATCTCTTCCAATCAAGAGTATACATTTGAGGCCGCCTCTGATATTGATGCCTTCAGTGTTCCAGCAACATCGGCACTTGCGCAATCGTCTGTACGGTATAAAGATGGATCACATTCAATGAAGTGGACTTGGGCCAGTGGAGATACAATGACACATACCTTCTCCCCAGCAGTAAGTTTTAACCCTTTGCACCCTAACATCAGTATGTATTTTCCCCATACTATCCTCTTTACATTTTTCAAGGTAGTAACAAGGAGAATTTGATAAGAAATCAGGAGCCTCCTAGGCTTGCGATCATTTCCTTTATTCTCATGATCGTAACGAATGATTCAGGAGTGTTACAAAAAGGAGAAATTAGATATTGGTCACTTCGTGTTTAAAGCATTTATTGCCCTTCTTTTAACTTTCCAGATTTATTTATTTATTTACCTATTTTGAACACATATTTAAAATTTAGCCTTAAATCTTCAACCAAGGAAAATAATTTAAAATGTTTTACAAACTTATTTTGTCAATCTTAGCAACCCCCATCCCACCCCCCAAATCAATTAGAGATAAAAATGCAATTTGTTACCTAATGAAAGATGAACTGAAAATGTTGGTGTATAGTAAGTAAACAGAACCTATTTTAAAGCTTCAAATGTATGCCAGGTTTTTGTATTAGTGTCTATGTGATGTGTTCATTAAAAATAATGGAGATCACAAACTAACTGCAACATACATTTCAGATTTCAGGAAGAGAGCTTCGAAGGGGAGGGATTCAGCTGTGGCTTTACAACAATAATCCACGTGCAGGAGAGAGCTTGGCTGTCTCTTTCCAAAATACTGCATCCACCACTGTTACTGTATCACAGTTCAATATTAAGCTGAATTTTAAGGTAAGGGGTAATGTTGCAAAACACCTGTTAAATTCCTGTGGTCAAATTCAATTTTGCAAGTGTGCAGCAGATTGCTTTTGTACACCTTGATGATGTGTATGAGCATGCTTTGAAGTGTAGCAGAGGTATCTTCTATTAATGCGGCATTTAAAACTATGGCATTGGAAATGTTTTGTGGCAATAATGTAAAACATTGAATTTTTTTCATATTTGCAGTATGATCATGTATTATTGTATCACTTAGCTCTTATGTGAGGTCTGATTAGTTAATCTAGTTGGCTGTATTTCTCTGTGACCTGCTAAATTCAAGAGTTTGTTTGACTTGAAATGTTTCCCCTCTATTTGAACTCAGAGATATAGTAAATAACTTACTGACCTCATTTTTTTGGACTGCACTGTAAGTTACAGAACCTTGTTTTTTCAGCCTTTCAGGGGCTATAAATCTGAGCTGAAAAAACTTGATCGGTATCATAGTGTACAGTCCATAGACTTGTTTAGTAAGGGGTATCTATGGATTACATGTTGATGGTGTTAACAAGTATTATGGCAAAATGCTATAGTAATACACTTTACTGATAGCTTTGGGGGATGGTTATTTCAAAGATAAGGACAGAGAAAGACAGCAATCTCCTTAGAATCAAGGAGGTTACTAAGGCAACCAAACCACAGCCCACATCTAAACATCTGTCAACACGACACCAGAATACTTGTGTATAGAATGACTACTTATCCAAACTTTTGGGGGTAGAAAAGAAGTAGGAAGTGAAACAAAGAAAGCAATGGAGCAAAGCAGCAATTGAAAGTAATTTGAGTAAAATCATGGGCATAACAGAAGTTCAATAACTTTTTCCATAAGCTGCTGTTGATAATATAATAGACAGCTGTGCCTGAAAAAGGGCTGTAAGGCAAAATATGAGGGCCTGCATGTAGGCCTTTAACTCCCAAGATCTGATTGTTAATTCTCCCCTCTAGCTGCTAGACATTTCCTTGTAAATTTGTTATGAGAATTTGGTGTGCGATCAAGGTAATAACTTGTACCTGATGAGTTTGAGTATTGTCACCACCTGTTTACCAGATAATGTATGGATATTATAGGGAGAAGTAACATTTTAATCACTTCTGGATATTATAGGGAGAAGTACCATTTTAATCACTTCTGGGAGTTATAAGGCTTATGTTGAAATTGAAACCAGCTGTATAATAATCACTTTATTCTTTCCATTTGAAGGGGTGGCGTGCTGTGTGGGTATCCTATCAAGAAGCTATTGTGACTAAAAACAAAGATATTAATGTTATGAAAATAACTGCTCCTACAACTCAAGCTACCATACATCCATTGTATTTTGATCTCTTGCGTTTTGCAAGTGAAGTCAGGAGGCAAAGCCGTGACAAAGTGGTACCACCAATAGATCCAAACCTTTACTCCAACAACAACTTCTGGCAGCAAACCTATCGCTGGAGTCAGGTATGTTTGAACATGTTTGTCTTAAAATATATCTAATGAAATAAAAATGAAATGGGATTTAGCAGTGCACATTCTACAAGGTGGCTCTTCTTGTCCACTGTTTCCAGGTCGAATTGGAATTTAGAATGTTGGTTTTTGTGGATGGAGGAAAAGCAGAGGAATAGGAGAAAAACCCACGGAGCAACTATGAGGACCAACAAAAAACATAAGACACATTTGACACCAGGTCCTTGAATTGAACCTGGGCCACAGTGGTAAGAGGGGAACCCTCTCACTACAGTGCCATCCCTCCCTCCCGCTCCTCTAATAATAAAAAAAAGTATAGATCTGTTTAAATGCTCAGTCAGTTTTGTCTTGAAAGATGTGATGTATTTGATATCAATATTGTTCCAAAAAATTCATTTATGCAAACTAAAAGGGTTCATTCATGCAGTAACTGTAAATCACTTTGTCCTTTGGTCTTGGAGTAAAGTTTGGGGAGCTGGATGAATCAGTTAATGATGGCTGGGGCAAGTTTTGGTGATCTCTGCATTAGGTGCTGTCAAAAATACAATGTTTTAAAGCTGTCAGTGATTTAAATAGTTATGATGCTGATATTTACTGATAAACAGAATATTACATTATTGTCTGCTTTTGGATACAATTTATCTTCTATTGATGATCAGATATCTCTCACTCAAAGAAAAAATTCACATCCATGTACAGCCATGTAAAATACTCTATGCATATTTCTTTTAGGTATCACCACCAACCATTTCTGTTACCACACCCAGTCAAGAAAAACTGGACAATATGACCCTGATTGAAAAGCGACTAGAGAATTGGTTTGTTAATCAGTCTCAGAGCTCACTCCAGTTTCCAACAAATGCTCAGAGGAGATGGATGTCTTTACAGATGCAAGTGGATAGTGCTTACACTCAGTATGAACAACTAAATATTGTGAAAAGCTCAGAAGGTGTTATTACAGGTAAACACCATGTTAATTACTAACCTATGACTTTTTTGCAAAATTCTAACTTTTGTTTGGTGGCAGGTTTAAGGACTGAAAATAATAATTTAACCACTTTAATGAAGTTTTAACCCTTTAACTCCCATAGGTGACCAATGCAGAATTTCTTCTCACAATTTCAATGCAGCATCAAGCAGTAAAGTGATGGGAATAAGGGCAAATATTATTAAGAGGGATTATTGCCTGGTCCAACACCAAATTCTCTTAATTCACATCATAAGAACTGTGTAGTACCCACTAATGAGAATCACTTTTGAGATGTTGGGAGTGAAGGGGTCAAAAGCTAACTAACTGTTTAAAAAATTGGAAATGACATCCCTTCAATCATGATTTTTTAAAAATTTTCAAGCCTTAGTCGATGCGCCTTCAGTCATAATTTTTTAAAATTTTTGGGCCTTAGTCATTTGAAGTGGATATTGGTATCCACTGGATAGATCTCTGTCCTGTGGATAAAGCAATGGAGTTTTTAAATGCTTATCAGTTGGATAGCAATTTATTTGTTGGATAATGTTATCCACTGTTCCCCGTTCTCCTTATATCCCCCTTTCTTAATATGATATTTAACTGACGGAAATGGTGCTCTATGGCCATGATTTCCTTTGCAACTTAACAGTTGCACTTATACCTTAGCATAACATAGGGTTGTCTTTGGTCAACTCACTGACATACTGGTATTGAACTTAGTTGTTGGTGAGTTCACCAGGGGGCGAACTTGGGGGTTGGGGAGTTGACTAAAAGTGTTGGCAAGTTTAATAATGACAACAATTAGTTGCCTAATGGTGTTGGTAAGTTGCCTAATGATTTCAGTAAGTTGGTTGTTGATAATTTGATGTGTCAGAAAAATGATTGAGAGCAGCTTCTTTTTGTTGCTCTATCCAAAAATGAAACCTCCAAAATTGTATTTGCATTGTTACTCTCCAGGTGTGCCTCTTTATGCTGACAAGTCTACAGTTACTGGTGGTAAAAAATTTGGGGAGGTGGTGGAGAAAGTGCTTCTTCCATTGGCACTGGATTATCATGTGAGATCACGTGATGTTGACGTCAATGCATTGGCGGCCGATCAACTGTCCAACTTGAATGGAACCATGGACCAGAAAAATGATGCCATAAAGGTATGGTTGATTGGCTCTTTAACCCTTTATAGTCCAGTATCAGTATGCATTAATTCTCTATAGTGTTCTCTGTCCATTTTCCACGATACTGGCAAGAGAATTTTACATTCATCAAGGGCTTATTTTAGTAGCTAATCATTTTATTTATTCTCATGATCTTGATATTTTATTCAGCAGAAATACTTTAAGGAGAAGTTCGATGTTAGTTACTCTTGGGGGTAAAATGGGTTAAGGTTCACCCTTAACCTTGATAGGTGTGTTCAGATGAGGGTTTGTAAACATGGTTGTCAAAGTTTTCTAGATACAAGTTATAAAAGCAAAGTAGAGTTCTTTCTCAGTGTTCTCCCAGCCGTGTCCAAACACGAGAGGCTGGAAGAATTTTTGAATGCTAAGAAAAATCTCAATTGTATTTTGGGTTTGCATGCTTCGATCAATAATAATAATAATAATAATAATAAGTCTTTATTAAGCACTCTAAACAACAAACGTGTTAAGTTACAATGATATGAAATCAGCAAGTATAAAACTAATAAACTAACTAAATTACTAACTGAATAACTAATAAGAGAACAAACATCTATTAATAAAGGTCCTTTTGAAACGTTCAGTTCTGACAAGCGGGAGAATATAATTATGGCGCCTCTTACGTAGCGTATCCATTGTTCGCTCTGGTGGCAAAAGGTCATCTAAAGCTGTTGGAAAATCGCTGTCGGTGATCTTGGCCCACAACTTCTTATCTTTTAGAATAATAATATTTTCAATCGAAAAAAGCTCTTTACAGTAGCCAAGCTTAAAAGCTCTCTTGAACAGCCTGTCTATGCGACTCAGATCAATTTGAGGCTTTAACAACCCCCCCAAGGCAACCCCCCCAGGCAATCCCCCTAGGCAACCTCCCTGGCTTTTGGAGATTGGTTCGTTCGAATTACCCCCTCCCCCACCCCCTCGGCCAAAATTGTTTCGTAAAAGGCAAGACCAGTGACCGTGACGTTCTTGTAGACCTTTTCTTCTGAGTCATCTGCTCGCGAAAGTGAATTTTTTACTTTTTTCTCCTTTTTAAATTATAACATTTTCTTTTTTTGCTGTTTATCTTAGCTCTAAAAATGTGAAGTTGCCTTTAGCAAACTTTATGCAAAATAGGCCCCATTCTTTTTTATGAATTTTACCTGCCGCCAAGATGACGGAGGGAACATTTATTATAAGTACTTTTCAGAGAATGCAGGATGGTTTTACTGAATTTTCTTTCTTTTTTTCAACCATAGAAAATAGCAGGAGGTAATCAGAACATTCAAGCCATATTCACCACCGCCCTGGGTACCACTCAAACATCTTACACGTTGGAGGAAGTGAAGGTGGCCATAGGCACTCTGAATACGAAGCGAAAGGAACGATTACTTCTCCTTTTGGAATATATTGAGGATCAAGGTGAGCCTATGAACAATAGGGTAAAGTATGGAACTCGAGTCGTGGGGGCAAAACCCCTCCCCTGATCCAACGATGAACTCATAGTAAGTCAGGGTCAATATAGGTTAGGGGAGGGGTAGGTGCCCAGTTGCTCAGATACTGACATTGATGCGATAATTCATACAATTCCATTCCTGGAGCTCATGAAATTAAGAACTGGTAAGTTCTGAGCTCGTTAAAGAAATAGAGAAAGACGTTTTTCGTCTTGTCACGAGCGTGGGACAAAGAAAAAACTCTGAGTCCCCATGAGGAACCGAACCTCGTACCTTCGAATTCCGTCCTCCGACGCGTGTCATATGAATTTCGTAGTAGACCTCGCTCACCGTGGAGTCTCTGTGGCTCAGTGGTAGAGCATCGGAGCGCAGAATCCGAAGATGTGAGGTTCGATTCCTCATGGGGACTCGGGATTTTTTCTTTGTCCCACGCTCGTCACAAGGCGAAAAACATCTTTCTATGTTTCTTTACCGAGCTCAAAACGTATCATCTCTCTTATTTCCATCTACAAATTTTATACCGTGTTTACCAAAATAGCTTTAAAACATGTTTAAAGCTTTGGTGAGAATGGGATATAACTCAGCTCTTGCATTTGTCAGGTTGGAACGATGGTAGTGGTATTGGTACTTTGGATCATGAGATGAACAATTCCGGTGCAGGTTTTATGAATGCAGTCTTCCTCCTGAGGAAGGAAATCACCGCCGCTGGTAAAATCGATGATTATGTGGCTACTATGAAGTGGTACAACGAGTTTGGAGAAGTTTATCAAGACCCGTTTGAATATGCTGGTACAACTGCTGATCGTATGAGAACCATTGCAGTATTCAGGCAAGATGTTTTTCATGTCAGTTCCTTATGTGACATATGTTTTTTCTAGGTATGCGTTACTTTTGTTTACTAATACAAAACTGTGTGAAAAATGGGTAAGTTTCCAAAGAAAACTGTGTCGCTGCGTCGATGGGGTATTCCAAATTAATTTGGTTTCATCAACCGAGTTGGCAATGTCAATTGACCACTGTAAAGAGTTTCTAAGAGCTGACGTTTCGAGCGTTTGCCCTTCGTCAGAGCCAACAGTGGCCTAGTAGTTTGTGCTCTTACTTCAAATAGTGAGGTCCTGGTTTCGAATTCTGACGGGGTCATTGTGTAGTGTCTTTGTTAATCTTCGAAGGTAATCCGGGATTTCTTTTTTTTCTGCTTCACGACACTCTGTGTTTGGTCGAGAAAACTCTTGCTACCACTCAACCAAACAGATGCAAGACGAACGCAAGGGCCTGTAGGGAGCTGGTCAATTGCGCCTTTCCGCGCTTCAAGAAGTTAGCTTCGCTTTTAGTTCGAGTCCTTGCTGCTCCTTGTGTCCTGATTGGCCACTGTGATGACTTTGGTGTCGGTTTTATGACATCCAGTCGAAATGCGCTCTAGTGTTAAACTCAGCATCACGTTTCAGAGATACTTAAGGCTATGTTTCTCGTGGGCTACGCCTTAACATCTTAAAACATTCAGTCTATGTTTTTTAAGTTCGTAATCTGCAATTATTTTGAATTAACTTCATCCTGAGACATTCTTTAATCTTCTACCGTTACGAAACTTGTATTTAAAAAATACATTTTAATCTCTCCCTTCTCAACCATTCCCTTTTTTGCCTTCTTTTTGCCTTCTTATGTTTATTGTTTTTGTTATTTTTGTCAAATCATTTCCCTTTAGACCATTGCGTTCCCACTCGATAGAAATTTATGAATACCTTGCACGAGCAAACTCATTTATCGTGAAGTCAACTGTTCAAAAAATAAAGACGTTCAATCCTCAGCCTTATGTGCGCTGACTCTTTCTTTTGCAGATTGTTTACTGTTCTAATGATGCCAACTACAACAGATGCCAAAAAGCTTGATAAAATTCGTGACATGGAAGAACTTGTCTTATGGTACGCCAACGCACTGTCTCCTAATGAAGGTTTCGCGGGAGTTTTAAAACCTGATTACCTTGGATTCCATCACAACAGCTATTATGCCTCTGCTTACACTCCGCATGCTATCCATTGTGGCGCACTCATCGAGTTTCTACTCAGTGGAACACCATTTAAATTGAGTAAGAATGAGCTAGTTACAAGGGAAAGTAAAGTGGGGACAAAAAAAAAGAGCCACTGCGTACCTACCCCTCTGCAAACCAAACATTACCCCTAATTTGTTTTAGTTGACCGTTATTGGGTTAGGGGAGGAGTAGGTGTGCAGTTTCTCTGATACTAACATTGATCCAAATGGATTAAGAAACCGTTGGTTTGAGATATGCTCGAGAAGTCTGATTGTCCGATTGTGGATAGTCCTGGAAAGGACTCCTGTCAGTAGCATTGTCGTTTACAAATATGTTAGCCACATACTTAGCGCTATGGCTTTGAACAACATTATAGAGGGGAAAAGGCTAGGAAGGAAGTGTGCCAGCGGATGACTTCTCTGAAGTGTGGTTTCCAAGGTAGCGAAACGACTACACAAAGATCATGGTTGGAACTACTATAAAGCTCTCTTTTATCTGGGTTTCTTCTTCGTCCATTAACTCAATAATTCTTTTTAGAGGCTCCTTTTGTCTTATGTTCTAGCCTGCAAGAGGAGACGCCTCTGTGATCATATTGTTTCGCAAGGGAAATGTGAGGCAACAGGTGGAGAGAGGCATCTTCTCGTAGGATTCCTGAGCACTCTCATCTTTCGGCCGTGTAAAATTGTCTGACGCAGTAATAAACTAGCTCTTTTGTGTACTTAATATTTGGGGTATACGTTGATTTTAGAAAGGTAGTAATTGTATTTTGCAATTAGAGTTTGAGTTGTGTTTTCGTGGTTTTGGTTCAAAGGTGAGGACACAAGCAAGCATATTAAGAAAGGTCTAGAGACAATGAGGATTGTTGCCGTTAAATACTCAACTCCAAACAGTGTATGTGGTCGATTTCCAGGATTTTACCGTGCAATTTTGGCCAAGAATTTTCCTGCCTATGCTTACGCCGGTGCAACTGCTCCCAGTTTGAACGCTGATGGAAGTCTGGGTGAAATTGCTGCTCTCGACAGTGATAAGATCAAAATGTTTTTACGACTTAATGATGCAGGCAATGAGGATGTTAGCGATTACTTGGAAGATGGAACGATATTCACAAGTATCTATTACCTAAACACTATTGGTTCGATCAACATCATGGAGGAAATAAGCTCTAAAGCTGCCTCGATGAGTGTAGCGGCCGAAAATTCGCCCCAGGGATTCTGGACGAAAAATTATGCTTCGCTAGTGATTGCACGAAGAGAAAATTGGGCGGTAACAATGAAAGGCTTTAACAAGTATGTCTGGGACTTCGAGGCCTCAAGCAATCAAAATGTTTATGGTCTTTATCAGAGTCATGGAGCACTTCTCGTTGCAAACAGCGAGGCGTCACTTAAAACTCTAGATATCGATAATGGTTGGGACTGGACACGACATCCGGGCACAACAACAATAAAAATGGATCTTGAACAGATTGTTAGCCAGCAGCGTAGGTAAGTAATTAAATCCCGTTCGCTCAAATCCGTTTTTATCGTTTGGCTGGCTTCTCGAGCGGGCAGATCAAATGGAATCGCGTGTTCTGATTGGTTAGCCTAGCGGGCAAGATAGGCTCATATTCCCCGTTCGTGATTGCCCTCTTCGATCCCGTGGACTGAAAAATCTCCCTGCTACCGGTTTTCTAAATTCGTAACTTTTGGGGAACTATTCTATTAGTAGAAGTTTCGTTTAAGGCTCTTTTTAACAACAACAACAACAACAAATGTCATGTCCTCTATATCAAGTTTTAACAATGTATTGAATAGAAAATAATAAATTATTATTGGTATGATAGTAAGAGGGTAACTGCATCCTGGAATAACTAAGGAGCTAAAAATGACAGGGAGTTGTGGATTCCTCCCCTCCCCCCCCCCCCCCCCCCCCCAAGGAAAGAAGTGCGTTTTAATAGAAAAAGATACAAACATGGCCCGAGTGCCAAATAGCAAGGTCCACAATCACTGAACTTAGGTTTCCAGAAACCTTATGGGTAATATTAAAGAATTGGTCCATACTCAGAGTGCGCGTATCGAATTATGGATGCACGTGGGAAATTTGGAGAGCGCCGCTAGCAACTCTAGCTCCTTGCTTCTTCAGTCCTCTCAAAACTTCCCAAGTGCAACCGTAACTCGATATACGCATAGTTAAAGCGTGAACCAATTCTCTAATATTATCATAAGGCTTAGGTCGATATAAAATTGTGTGCTTTTTATTGTCCATTGGAAACATCCCCCCTCCCCCACCCCTCTCAAAGTATCCAGTGGGCCGGAAAGGAAACATGTTAAGTGTTTTTGCTTTAGTTTTAAATTCTGACTTCCTCCAAAAAATATATGTTTATCGTTATAGTGGTATTGTAGGCTCATATGGTACATAAACAATCAAAGAAGAGTTTTTTGTACCACGTAGGACAAATGAACCAATTATATCATCTGACATTTGAAGTGGCTCCACAGATATTTTCAACCCAGGGAACTTGCGGGCGGATTGACTTTGATTGGTGGCGGTGATTATGCTACAGGGGGCTTTGGAATGGATTTCTCACAGCCAAGCTATAAGTTTCCAGCTGGTTCCTTTCAACTTGACATCACATTTGGATTTAAGAAGAGCGTGTTTTTCGCAGATTTTGCCGTGATTTGTCTTGGATCTGGAATCACAACAACCATGAGCTCGCCCAATATAACTCAGGTACATTTAATTATTTCCCTTTCAATTAAGCATCAAGCCTGTTAGAGACCGCTCTCCTTCAAATTTGTTAGAATTATTTCTGCAACCAAAAACTTAATGTCATCGAAAGGCGGGGACAGATACAGTAAGAACTATTACTTGTGGTAACTTGCAATTTATCTAATACAATCAACGTGGAGGAAGTATGGTGACGAAGGGGTTTGCACGGTGGACCTCTGTTCGAGAGTCTGGGTTTGAGTCCTGGGAAGGTCATTTTGTTGAGTCTTTTAGCCAGATACTTAAATTTTTTATTGCCTCTCTTTAAACAAGGGTATAAATGCGTGCCTGTAAACTGTGAATGGATTTTAGGGATTACCTAAAATGCACTGGAATAGATAGATAGACAGATAGAGAGGTAGGTAGGTAGATAGACAGATCGATAGATAGATAGATAGATAGATAGATAGATAGATAGATAGATAGATAGATAGATAGATAGATAGATAGATAGATATATAGATAGATAGATAGATAGATAGATAGACAATTTTATTTAAAGTGAATGAAGGGGTTAAGTTTCTAAAGAAACTGTGGTGCTGCGTCGGTGGGAGATTGTAACAAGGTAATTTTGTATTTTCAACTAAAAATACTTTTTTTGAAAACAAAAATATATATATGTGTATATATAGAAAACTGAATACTTCTCGTTTTTATATGCTTAAAAAGTTGCTGGTTACTGTATGTTATCCGGAAGCGAGATCCATTTCTTAGCCTCAATTTAAACCGTGTTTTGTGCCATTAACCTTTTTTAACGTAAGTATACTGTGGTCTCTCAAATTATACTTGTCTCTCCTTGATTTCGTTATATGGCTTTACCAGTTAATGCAAGGCCCTGTAAACAGCTAGTTATTGTTGAATGGACGCCAAAATTATTCCTAGTCACTTCATGCCTCAGAAACTAGAGGCCTGTTTCTCGAAGGTCCCAGTCACTTAACGGGCCCTTAAAGCTGTTCTGTTGTCATTCAAGATGGGGGTCTCAAAACTACTGCAATAAAACTATCAGATAAAGGAACAAAATAGACTCGTTAGGATGTCAGAACCTGCTTCTGTATTCTTTAAATTTTGATATTGAAATAGGGCTTTGGGCGCATTTAGTCATTGGAACCTTCGAGAAACGGGCCCCAGGATAGGTAGAAATAGGGTCTGTGTTCTGAAATGGTGAACCTTTGAGTCGCATCAATCATGCTATGTCCTTTCTTTACGCGACAATATTTTCTCAATCTTTCTCATGAGAAAACTGAGCAATGCACGTTTGAAATTGGTTGCAGACCACGTTGTTCCAGACGAAGCTTCTCAACGCAAGCAACCCATCATCAATTCTGATAAACGAAACAAGTCACTCACTCAACACCGACTTGACAAAGGCGCCGTCCTTCTTTGGCACAGGAAACCATGCAGCTACACTTATGGATGTCAATGGTAAATACATGATATGTACGATTCGATTTAGGCATTGAGCTACTGTATTTCTTTATTTTTTCCAAACTTTCCCCGATCTAGAGGCCACTATGCATGATATTAAAACAATGTGAGTGAAAGAATAATTAGAATATGTAATAGAGAAAATGAGTTGTTCAAATGTGGTGATGGTTACAAACAGTTCCACCGAAAATCGCTGATGAGCAGAAGAACGAAAGATGTAAGCGGCCCAGGTAAAAATAAATGGTCTCTGAGTCCAGTACATTCTTCCCGGGAATTAAGTTCGGGCTTACACTTTCTGATATAAAACCAATCGAACCGTCCATTTAATCAACATGCTACTGAAGGACAACCTCAAACGTTCACTAAATACATAAAAAATTTTTATTAAGCAAGAGTACACAGTGACCCGACTGTGGCCGACTCCTTTTTTTCGTTTTCATGACTTGAGACATTCTGGCGTGGTCCATGTAGAGGCCAGGAAAAAAATTATCAAGGCTAACGTTGGTTATCTCTAATCCAACAGGCTTGTTCAACAGACTGCGTTTTGATTGTGTATCTTAATACCAAGCCAAAGTTACCACAACAACCACAAAGAAAAATTGAAAAAAAAAATCACGAAGAGCCAACCGGAACTCAGAGAAAAAAAAAACATATAAAGCGCGGGGAAACGCGAGCGAACTAGTTATGATTGTTAAGTTTTGCATCTAATTGGTGGGAAGCGTGGTGCGAGTCTTCTAGACCAATCACAAAGCCCGCTGAAGCAGAGCCAACGTAGTAATGGTTTCCTTTTGAGACTTAACTGAAAATTGCTTTAAATGAAATGCCTTGCGGCCAAAACATCACGCCGAAGAATTATAAATCAAATTGGTTGCTTCGATTTGAAATTTACCCGGTCCTGCCTTAAGGCTCTGTAATATTCTTAACGCCCAAGCCCCCCTCTCCAATGATTGTCAAAAAGTGATAAATAATGATTGGTCCCTTAAATGAAAAATGTGAAAACTTGGTTTGTGTTTTAAGTCTGGTTCTTGTAGACTGATTGGTCAGTTTTGCCGTGATACTATAGGATGCAAGACTCAAGTAGCTCTTTTGGGTTGTGATCGTTCAGTGTCTACTGTCGGTGACGGTGACATCATAACTGCCATTTTGCTTTTCTGTAATGAATATGAGTTTAGGATTCGAATTACATATATCTAAATCTTGCTGTGAGGTCTAACGTGACCTCTCCTTTTGGTTATTATGCTTGTGTTTAGGACACTATTATTTTACTAAAAATAATAGAAGTTTCATTATTCTCTCATTTTTAAAAATTTAAGGAAACACTTACTACATTCCCGACGCGCATAACCAGGGACTTAATGTGAAAATTGGCCTGCAAAATTCCAGAAACCAAAGAGGTTCAAAGGCTACATCGGCTCGGTACGCGACCGCATGGCTCAACCATGGAGTGAACCCAACGGACAAGGGTTATGAATACACCATATTGGTTAACAGACCCTCAGAAGACGTCCGGGTAGGAATTTTAGAGTTCATTAAACGATTCCTTCAAGCATGCGCATTTAAACAATTAGCTCTCAGAAGTGTTGCATGTGTAACTTCTTGCGATTTCAATAGATAGTCTGCAAACAGGTGATAAGAATACACAAGGTCATCAGCTATACTGTAGACTGCTATTTTGGTATAACACCTAATTCATTACCATAAAATGTATGGCAGTCAGTATTGTGAATTTCGTACAGGATCTGGAAGTTAAGTTGCTTTTATCAGCAAGTATTTGTTGACAAGCGGACTGGAAACGAAACAGTTGTATCTCAGTGGTCGCTTTTCAAGAAGCATTCCTTCTTCGCTTCTAAGCCAATGGATTTTTACCGAAAATCTGGCGAAATAGGAAATTGTGGGATAGATAAGCACACACGTTAAGCATTCTTATGTACAATGTTTTTTGTACCAAATGATCCAGTCTCGCATGGAAAGCCACATTCCTAGCCTTTTTATTTTAACAGGGCTCAAATAGCCTTCAGCAATATTACGAATTTTTTTCTTTTTGATCTCGCACTAACATTTTTCTGTTCATAATTTGAAAGACTTTGGCCGAAAATCAAGCTAGTGGCAGTTACTGGTATCAAGTACTTCAGAGAGACAATAGGGCTCACGTGGTGAAGATCAATAATTGCCCGAGGCAGGGTGAGACACAGTATGGATACGTTTTTTTTGACAAATCTGTCCGTACCTCGGGTCCAGTAAGGCGCGTCACAAAGGTAAAACTTGTCATGGTGTGGTCTAGCTTAGATAGGAGTAAAAACAGAGTTGGTTTAACGAGACTAACAGAGAGGATGAAATTCGCGAATATATGGAGCGTCTCCTTTTGCTAAAAGAAAATAAAGACGTAAAGCGTTTCTTTTAAAAAAGGCATTTTGTTCATGTTTTTTTCTTATGGCTAGTTGGTTGGTCCTGATTTAAATTTTAATATGCATTAATTGTTATGCATTGTTTGTCAAACTGTTTTTACAAGTTTTGAATTTTCAAAGGCATTGTAAGTCGCAGTTTACTATGTGCATAGAACTATTATTTTTTCTTATTATTTATTGTTATTATTATTTATCATTGGTTTCCTGCTGTTCAGTAAGGAATTTTTACCATGGGATTTTCAAATTCCTGTTGAAGCTCTATACCTTGGAAAAAATTATGCGTAGAAATATAATGCTAAGTTTCAACTTTTCTTTTTAGAGAGGCATTTTTTGGTGTTTTTTTCTTAGAGCTAGTTATTTAGTCCTGATCTTAAATCTCTATATACTGTAACTTTTATAAACTAATTGTTTGCAGAACTGTTTTTAGAAGTTTTGAATTTATTTTTATTTTAAAAGGCGTTGTTAGTCGCAGTGGAATATGTTTATACAAGTATTAATTATTATTGTTCATTTCTTATATATTACTTTTATTTATTATTAATAATTTTTATTCGTAAGTTATTATTATTATTACTATTATTAATATTTATCATGTGTTTCCGGATTTTCATAAAGGTTCTTTTACTATAGGGTTTCCAAATCCCTTTTGAAGCTTTATAGCATGGAAAAAATTGTGTCTAGAAGCGTTTTTTTTTTTACCAAAAGGCACATAATTCTCCGTTTCAACACTGTTTCATCCTTCCAGTATAATTCACCGTCACAAAAGAAGGAAGAAAGTTTAATTAGATAGGGACAAAAAGCCTAAGAGCTGCTGTCCAAATTTCTAAAGGCTTTGTTTCTATGTTCCTCTGATGTAAATATATATGCATCGATCGTAACCTTTTTGATGGAAAAAAAGGCATATTTACTTCATATACATGGCAGAGTGCCACGTTATTGAAACTTGAGTAGTATGTATGTAGTATAATCTAAAACTGTGGATAGCATTGAAGGCGCGCTCTGATTGGCTACTCAAGCTCGAAATATCCTTCGCTATTCTTCAGAGGAACTCGCACTGGATTTGCGGCAGAAAACATTTTAATCGTTTCTGGAATAAATTGGTTTAAATCATATTTTTGTCCCATTTTGCTTCAGTCTCAGCGGTTACCAGTATATAGCCACCTCCATTTAGGAGCATAGTTATTAAATATATTTGTTTTAAGTTTATGTAAAGTAAAATTTCTTTTTGGTCATTTCTGGACGTGATATGGTTTTTGTGTAAATAAATATCGATTGATCTGCGGTTCTTCTGATATTTTATCTCACAGGATCCTTGCATTGTGATGGTGGAAGAAGTGGATACCCAAAACTTGTACATTGCAGTCTCTTATCCAAATCTAAATTTCAACATCTCCAGGACTTTGGATTGGGGCAGTCAGGTCAATGGGCAAGAAAGGTTTTATTCTGTTAGCACACCAGTTGAAATAGAGGTAATCTGAAAACTGATATTCCTTCTTTTTTTACTTCTTTTTTGAGAATACTGTTGATTCTTGCAGTCTGATTGGCTGTTAGTAGTTTGATTATTTACAAATGACACAATTGTTAAATGATTTCTATAGATAGTCACATGATTTCAAGTGCAATTTGGACTAAATAGGGAGGAATAAATTTCGTCAAATACTAACAAAATTGCACGAGCCCGTAGGGCTCGTGCAATTAGTGGTCTTTGAAAACGTTTTCATGTGCTCATTAATGAATATCTTAACCCAACAAGTTACGCAGAAAAAATCAAGAATTTACACATTTGATAATGATAGTGTGGCTTAAACGAATGAGGTAATCTTGTTTTGTATGAAGAAAGCGTTTTTCAGTTCATTTCCCTAAAAACATCATTAAAGTTATTATAACGACTGATTTGAAAGAATGTGCTTGTCACTCGAAACCTGTGAAAAATCAAAAGAAACTGAAACAAACGAACCTAAGTGCGACCAAGTCGAGATTGATTTTCCTTTTGATCTGAGTGATTTAGAAGGAGGAGTGAGTTTCGGGACCTTCACAGTTCAATAAAATAATAGCAACACAATTCATAATTACACTCGTCTCTTAGAGCAATTTTCAATTGAGTGTTGAAAGTAACCTGGAATTGCATTGGGTTTCCTTTAATTTGATTTGTGATTGGTCCAGAAAACTCGCACCACTCTCTTAACTAATTAGATGCAAAACGATTCGGTCGCCGCGTGTTCCCGCGCTTTTTTAGCGGTTTGCTTGTTTTTTACTTTGAGTTCTGATTGGCACTCCTGGACATTTTTCTTTCTTCCGATTGTCCGTTGTAATTGCTTTGGTTTTGGTTCAAAAACTCATTGGAAAAGCTCTCCAAACGAACGGCTCTAGATTTTAACCTCCAATAATGATTTATCTCAGGTGAGAGTGATCAATGCGGTGAATATAGCAACTGGAGATGTGAGAGTAAACGGAGAGGTTGTCCCAGACACCGATAAAACAAATCACGTGATGGTCAGACCAAAATCAAGCGGTGCAACTACAGGGCGTGCCATCGTGTTTAAACAGCTGTCCAAGGGGTTCACTACAGAAGTCAAACTTACTCGATAGTTGCCTTGACGGCATATGCATTTTTTTCTCTTTAGATTGATAATAAGACTCTTTGAATGAATTAAACGATGTTAAGCGAAGTTAAATTTGCTAAAGCGTTATAGAGTGCTTGTCACGTAAATGTAAAGCTGAATAGTAGAATGGAAATCAAAAAATAAACGTTTGACCAAAACCAAAAATTAAAGTTGTTCTATCAGTTTTAAACCGATAGTACACTTTAAAACGTCTAAATCTTAGCCTTGAATACTGTTAAAACCGAAGACCAATGCTAAGAGTAATCTTTAAGGGGGATTGTTGCGTGACATTGAAAAGAACGACCGCGTAGGAGACTTTACTGTGGAACGTCACTGCGACTTGAAAAGTCTCAGGACACTCAAGGTGGCCGGAAACAATTTTTTTAGTCCTACCAGCTACTTTTAAAGCGTTCAAAAACCTCAGACTTTTCCCTCTTCGCAGTGAAACCAATTTCACCCATGTGTTGACTTAAGGATTATAGATTGAATTAGTGGGCGCTATTATTGTGCTAATGTTATGGGCAAATCTTATCAAACAGCTCTTTGGGACGATCTCGGAAAATCCTCACAACCTCAGGATTTTTTTTTAAGAAAAGGCCTCGCCTTGGAGCGAATTTTACCAAATTAGCCGGTGGTCAGAGCATAGGAAAACTGTTTCCAGCCACCTTTAACGGTAAAACTGCACCTCCTCCCCACCTTTAGTGCGTGTATGCGTGTGTGCGTGCGTGTATGTATGCGTGTGCGGTAGGGGAGCTTACCACAGCAAAAATCATTCGCTATTCGAAGGCAGTCCTTCTGTATCTTTTCAAAACCTACAGTTCCTTTAATTTCTGATGTGAAATCACGTAGAAATTTGGCAGCCTAGCTCTTTGTTTCGGCTGCTGCTTATCATCCCTTTTTTTGAAAATTCCAAACTTATTGACTACGTAATTGAAGGGGTAGGTGCCGTTGTTCATACTTGTAGGCACTTCTGAATATATTGCCTGGTTGGACACATTAGAGGCCTCTAGGATAAACACCATCCTGGTATAACTGCCGCCTGAAAATATATTAATTTTCTTACGCAGCATTGTCTCCTGTTGTCTCTGCAGAAGGTTCCGTGAGGTCTTATAATGGGTGACAGCCAACTAACTCAGGTAGTGTGTCCTTTCCTTTGTCATAAAGACCTAAAAGAATTCAAAAGCCACGTTATATCCTTTAATGGCTTATAGAAGGGGATTGGGCAAAGCTATGACATAAATATTGCCCGTGTATCAAAGAATAGATGAGGTGGCGTGGACTTGAACTCAATTCGTACTCAAGACTCTTTGAGCCACGAGTGGCCGAAAATTGAATGATAGTCAAATTAGCAACGTTCACACTAGTTCTCGCGACATAACTAATGAGCCTTACATGAGTTCAAACTGCGAAAGTATTGTCAAAATTACGACTACTGACTAATTAAACAAAAAACTATGATGCCCAGACGAACACCTCAGATGCTGAATTGGAAAAATCAAAAATCTTCTTGAACAGAACTTCAAAGTTGGGGCAAACAACAAGCTATTGGGTGAAGAAGATACTCAACGAAGCAACTTGGAAAGTAAATACGTAAGCTTAACTCTTGTGTTAAAAATCCTGATTCTTTAATTTGTTTTTACTGTGTTCGATAATTGCCAGGTATGGTTTGATGTTTGATATTGCGATACGAAGTCCTAGTAAACGCTCTCGGAGCTTCCAGTTTCAACAAGTGAGACGTCTTTATTTGTCTAACAAAAAACAATGTGACAAGTGAAAAGCAATTCATTCCCGGATAAAAAACGTTGGATGGAATGTAATTTTAAATAATACATAAGATAGGTTGAAATCTTACAGTATTAGCTTAGCGTACTTACTCCTTTTTACGCAACGCGTGATTGGTGAATGAAATTCTCCATGATGCTTGATTTAATAGAAAAATTCAGTGTGTTTTGTGATTGGAACCTCCCTGTGCCAACCTCTTATAAGCCGACCGAGACCCTTCAATTTACGCACTTCGCCTCGTGCCACCCACCAGGCATAAAATATGGTTGCAAGCAATAAGATTTCCTAGAACTAACTCTTCGAAAAAAAACATTTTGAGGGGGGCCGTTTGAAATTCAAACAACGCCTCAAAGAAGGAGGGTACCCAGAAAACATCAAAGAAAGGTCTCTGTTAGGGTCAACTTTGTCTCTTGATAATCGGCCCTTAAACATACACAAAAGCTGAAAGGTCAAGAACGTTTATTGCCTTTTGTCACAATGTACCACCTGGCAATTAAAAATTTAAAACAAATATTGATGGAGCAATGGAGTCTGATACACAATCAGCCCTTGCTGAAAACCAATTTTCCAAAACCTCCGATCATCTTTTACAAAAAGTGAAAGTCTCTTTAAGACATGCTTGTGAGAGCAAAAATATAATTTGAAGGTGGTACTGCGACGCGACTACGAAAGCCACATGGGAAGTCCTTGCCGGTCTGTCTTTACCTTTATTCTCATATCGTGTCACCACGACTTATCGCTTGTATCCACTTTTCTCTCCTTTCTGTTGTCAATTCTTCTTCGAAAGAAGAATTTGATAACTGATGGTATTCGATGAAATCCAATCCCTTGGTTCCGATCACTTCTGCTGCCGCAGCCGAAAACTAAACAAAGAACCATTTCTACTTTCTCACTCACACTTTACCTCCTTTTACAGGAGGCGCGGTGGCCTCATGGTTAGTGCGTTCGACTCCGGTCGAGTGGTCCGGGTTCGAGCCTTGGACGGGGTCATTGTGTTGTGTTCTTGGGCAGAAACTTTACTCTCACAGTGCTTCTCTTCACCCAGGTATACAAATGGGTACCAGCAAATATGCTGGGGGTAACCCTGCGATGGACTAGCATCCCATCCAGGGGGGAGTAGCAATACTCCTAGCCGCTTCATGCTAAAGAAATCGGAGTTAAGCGCCGGTCCCATGGGCCACTTGGGCCTGTATAAAGGCTTTACTTTACTTACTCACACCATACTACAAGCGCATTTGTAACTATTTCTTAGGCACCAACATGGCGGATAGCAACCGTCTTTAAGACAAAAGTCACACGGGTGAAAACCAAGAATAGGCCACCGAGCTGGACCATCGTTTCCGTAAAATTTTCATTGATAAGCAATTTAGAGATTTAAATATTTACTTATGACCAAAAACCGATGTGCACGAATGATGCGATATTTGTTTGCTTACCTATTTTTGACTTTTCCCCAGCAATTTTCAAAGAACACTCATGTCAACGTCACAAGATGTCTAGGAAAAGCCAGACAAAATATGACCAAAGAATCCAGCCTCGAAACCAATGATAGTCCGAAACCAGTTATATTTAACGAGAATGACACTGAAAAGATGGAGAGACATTCAGACATTTTCATGGAATTTTAAACTAGAACAAATCCTTGATCAAAGAAAAAGATGGGTCATATTTCAATTGATCTTCTTGAACGATGAGAGGTAAAAAAAAAAATTTCGGGACCGCTCTTCAAAGAAATAATTAGTGTGTTTACTAATTTCAACTTGTCCCTTCCAATCAAGAGTATTCATTTGAGGCCGTCTCTGATGTTTATGCCTTCAGTGTGCCAGCAACATCGACATTTGAGCAATCGTCTGTACGGTATAAAGATGGATCACATTCAATGAAGTGGACTTGGGCCAGTGGAGATACATGACACATACCTTCTCCCCAGCAGTAAGTTTTATCAGTATGTATTTTCTCCATACTCTTCTCTGAACATTTTCCAAGGTAGTGTCAAGGAGATTTCGATTAACAATCACGAGCTTACGATCATTTCCTTTATTCTCGTGTTCTTAACAAATGATTTAGCATTATTACTATAAGAAGAAATTAGATTCTGGTTTAAAGCGCCTATTGCCCTTTCTTTTAATTTTTCAGATTTATTTATTTATTCACCTATTTTAATAATTTTTTAAAAATTATTTTTCAAAACAATATTTGAAAATAATTGTATTTTTTAATTGATTTTTTTAATTATTTTTTAAACAATCTTTTAAAACTTTTTTTAAAATATATATTTATATAATTTTTAATTATTTTTTAATTATCTTTTTTAAATAATTTTTTAAATGTTAAAAACAATTTTTTAAATAATTTTTTAAAAAATTATTGAGCAGCACTCTGCGAACAGTAGTTGTAAAACTTTTTTACTTTTTTTTTTCAAAGTTGTGAAAAATTTGAAAATTTTTTGGACAAGATGAGAAAGATATTTTGGGGACCATGGATTAAGCTCTTTGGTTAACATCGCGCACTTTACAAACTCACACGTGGAAGCTCTTTACTTATGGAAAGATCTTTGCTCATGGAAAAATCAAAAGCGGAAGGTAGTCATTAGTAAAAAAATTGGCCCAAAGAAGAAAGAAAGGTACCACTCTGTCAAGAAAAGAAAAAAAAATCCCTTTGAGAAAGCGACTAATGCTGGCGGAGCTCCACGCCGACGCAGATTTCGAACAAAGAAGTCGCCGTCAAACCAAACTTTGCCATACATCATGTTGAAAACTGATTTCCTTTTCGTTATGCAAGTATCAGCCAACAATTGCCGCGAATCGTAATTTGAAAAGCTGTCTGTCGATTGGTTGTCTGGCTCCTCATCACATTTTGCAGCTTTTTTTTTTATTTTTGCCGCGGTTTTGGCCTTTGCCATCGGCAACTATGCTCATTGTTGTGTCTTTCTCCTCGACGTTCCACTGAGCGATGGAGATTAAAAAAAGAAAACGTTTCTGCAATGAGTTACTTTTCCCGGGAAATCTTGATCTATCGTCATTGACGCTTGAAGGTCAATTTTGCTCGTGCTGCGGCATCCGATACCCGATAAATTAAATAAAAGAACCTTCCGCCGTTTCACGCATTATCGGCTTCTTAAAAGAAAAGTCGCTTAAATTATATATTTATCGTAATCTGCAGTTATTAAGCTTTCCTCTTATGTCTAGTTTGCCAGGGTTTTATCGAAACTAGGGCGTGTACGAATTTTTTCCCGAAGGACACCCGCGAAGGTGGGAAGTAACCTTAGGCTTACTATTTGTATTAACTACAGTTGCATTTCTTTCCTAGATCTTTGTCCATACAAGAATAATTCCTCAAGCGTGCTGCAGTTTTCTGC